GCAGCATTTCTCATTGCTAGATGTGTGGGAGGCCGGGAGCAGGAAGGGAAGGAAGCAGCCCTCTTAGGAAGGGAGACATATCAAAGCAAGTGGGAAGCAAACAGCCCCTTCCCACCTGTACATGTGCAATAATATGCAAATGAAAAACATAACAGATCTAGAAGTAGAGCTTTCCAAGATGTGGTCCTAAAAGGTATCAAACATCTTGGGTCTCAACGCCAAGCTCAGGGGTGACCAAGATCTCTTGGCAGACAGCATTTTTCACCCACGAAGAAGCACACACCCGTGGTGAGGGAAGGGGGAAGGGAAGAGGGCGTTCCTTACAGTTCTGGCTTTGTACGTAGGTGGAGGGTGGTTCGAGGAGAGCAGTGACAGATTGCTCGTGGCAGCAGGGAAGAAAGATGTAGGAGGGTGTCTGCCCAGGGTCCCGTCTAGCCCAGGGGATACTGGCAGGGTGGATGCAGCACAAGTGCTGTGTCTAAACTGGGAGGGGAGGCACCCGCTGGCGGATGGACCTTGCCTAGGGGCTTTCTACCGGCTCCATCAACACGACAGCGTCTGCTGGTGCCCTGCGAGGCCAAAAGAAAATGGAAACTACTTCACCCACAATTTCATGATGGATTTGCTTTCATACTTTTCCAAACACTTCCAGTTCCCCACTGATAAGATGCAAATTAAGTGGTTAGGGAGGTGAAGCGGGGGGGGGAGAGGGGGGGAGGAGAGATGTTTGTTTGGATTATTTTTACCCTCTCACGCACTTTTTTTTTGTGCCAGGAGGAATTCACTACTGCATGCCATTAGTTGTGCCCTCATCCCAAATCTGTGATTTCAGAGGTTATATGGATGCATTAGCTAAAAAGTCTCTGACCAAAAGCCCTGGGAAAAGCATTCTGTTCCCATGGGATTACTCACATAACAGACAAAAGCAGATTATTTGCTTCTCCATATTACATGTGTGTGTTCCAATCCTTCCCTGGGCTGGGCTGGTTTTAGAGGGCAGAGAAACAGATTTTTTTTTTTTCACTTACATCTAATTTACTCTCAGTGACATCAAGGGAAGACTCCACTGCAGACCTGAGCCTTTAGTACTTAGGTGTCCATGCTGGCACAAAGAAATTTGAACCTGTGTCATGTGGAGATGTTTCAGAGTGTTGTCAACTGAAACTGGGCTGAGAAGAAACAATTTGAGGATTGCTTGTCAGCACAGCAATAGCAAGTTAGCAGGGATGAACTGGAAATTTTCCTATTCTTTACTGTTCTTTACTGTGATGGTAGTGAAGCGCTGGAACAGGTTGCCTAAAGAAGTGGTAAATGCTCCAACCCTGGCAATGTTCAAGGCAAGGTTGGACAGAGCTTTGGTTGACATGATCTAGTGTGAGGCATCCCTGCTCATGGCAGGGGGTTTGGAACTAGATAATCTTAAGGTCCTTTCCAATCCAAGCATTCTATGATTCTATTCTGTTCCTCACGCCTTCACAGGCTCATTTTTCCTTACCTTCATATACAGTAAGGATGGACTTACTACCCACACATAGAGAAATTAGATGCCAGCTGTTAAGCCAGCAGAGGAAAAGATTAAATTTACAGCAAGCCTCGATGCAGAAGCATGGGACATGAGGAAGCACTTGTACTGTTTATTATCTGGTCTTGGTGGACTACACTGGGAGCTCTCAGAGGCAAGTAAGCGAGAAGTACAAATTGATGATTCATTAGGGGTATATAGGTGGCATACAGCTGAGCTACTCTTGGAATCCTTCTTAGGAACAAGAACTCCTGCATCCTTAAGTTATATGTTTTTCTGGAAAAGAAATCAAAAACTCCCAGAAACAAAACCCCAAAACATCTGCTCAACTCTGAAGTCCTCCTACAGTCTGCAGTTTGTTTTCACTTTCCAAACCTGCTGAACACAGTGCCAGAAAATTTCTCCACAGGGAGGAATTACAACCTGCCTATCCTTCTGGCTACTGCACTTATACTCCTTGAGTTACTGGTTTAATTATTAGGGGTGCTGCTCACCCCAGTGTATGCAGCCTCCTGCATCCCTTTCTGCTAATATTACTATCATCTATAAACTCACAGGTTAAAGGTCATCTCGTTCCACTTATGTGACTCCACTGTTTTCACTCTTTTTACTAATTCTATTTATAGAAGTATTTTATTTACTTTTCAGAAAACATTTTCACTTTGATATTCTGGTTGATGAGAAAATGAACATGAGCCAGCAGTGTGCACTCGCAGCCCAGAAAGCCAGCCGTATCCTGAGCTGCATCAAAAGGAACGTGACCAGCAGGTCGAAGGAAGTGACCCTGCCCCTCTTCTCTGCTCTCATGAGACCTCACCTGGAATATTGTGTGCAGTTCTGGTGTCCTCAACATAAAAAGGACATGGAACTGTTGGAACAAGTCCAGAGGAGGGCAACAAGGATGATCAGGGGACTGGAGCACCTCCTGTATGAAGACAGGCTGAGGAAGTTGGGGCTGTTCAGCCTGGAGAAGAAAAGGCTGCATGGAGACCTCATAGCAGCTTTCCAGTATCTGAATGGGGACTATAGGGATGCTGGGGATGGACTGTTCATTAGGGAGTGTAGTGACAGGACAAAGGGTAACAGGTTAACACTTAAACAGGGGAAGTTTAGATTGGATATAAGGAGGAAATTCTTTCTTGTTAGGGTGGTGAGGCACTGGAATAGGTTGCCCAGGGAGGTTGTGAATACTCCATCCCTGGCAGTGTTCAAGGCCAGGTTGGACAGAGCCTTGGGTGTCATGGTTTAGTGTGAGGTGTCCCTGCCCATGGCAGGGGGGTTGGAACTAGATGATCTTAAGGTTCTTTCCAACCCTAACTATTCTATGATTATATGATATTGCACTCTGAAGAAAAAAAAAAAAACAAACAAACAAAAACAAACCAAAAAAAAACACCAACCAACCAACACCCCAGGACGATATCAGTTCCTTTTTGGACTGGCCTGCAGTCACTAAATGGCTGCCTGTAAGAAAATTGCAACTTGGTAACACCTACCACCCCTCTACCTGAAAAAAAACTATAGATAACTTCAACCCATCATCAGCATATTTTAACACGCAGGACACTAGGCTCAAGGAAGATGGCTCTTCTGGCACCACCCCTTCTTCTTGAAAGCAATTTAAAAAAAAAGAAGAAGAAAAAAAAGAAAGAAAACATTAAGCTTAAACTCAGTGTCAGAACCACAGAAAGAAATCAGAAGCTGTCACAATGCGTGCCGATACTTCATTGTTTACTAATGAGTAGGCCCCACTCTTACTCTGAATCAGACATGCAGCTGGAAGACAATAAAGAAAGAGTCTTTATACTGAAACCATGGGGGGAATAAATTAAAATCAGCATAAGTAAAAGATGAATCAGATCACTGACTTCTATTTTGAATTCTAGAAACAGACATAGTATGTAATCATGTCCTGATCACAGCCTTGCCCATGTGCCGGTGGAATTTATTAAGAGATTTCCAGGATTTCAAGCAGCCTCCACCTGCTCGTACCCAAGGTTAGCTTACACACGCTGATTTCTTCATTTCCACAGCACCACCAACAAAAGAGTATCTGACAAAAAGGCTCTGTTCATATTTGTCTGTGAAATATACAGACTTTCAGACACAGGATACAAAGAAGTACAAAAAATGTTATCTCCTTATCAAACTCCTCCTAATTTGCCTACACCTGGATGAGAGATGCGGTTTTCCTCAAAAATAGTTTAAAAAATAAAAATCTAAGTAAGGGTTCAGATTCTGCAACTATGGCAATTTAGTGTCATTTAGAATGGTTTAGATTTAATTGCGTGGTACTTGCTGTAAAACAGCATATAAGGCTGAATATACATGCTCAAGATGACACTAGAAGGCTGCATCTTTGATGATCATATAATATGTAGGGAAAAGTTTGGATAGTCTGGATTGTCTAATGAATTCTGCACTCAATTAATTTGCAGTAGTCAGTTTCCCAATGCCTGCAAAAGCACCTCATGTCCTGTTATTCTTTGTTCAGTGTACATGGCTGAAGACTGAGACTGCACAATATAGACATGTTCTGTGCCTGTTTAGTTTTAGATTTTTACAACCAAATTTAACATAACCCAAGAGTTACTGCAGCGGAAATGCCAATACAGATTACGCTGCTATAAGCAGGCCCTGAATTAGTTCTTGAAATGAAGAGCAAGGTTGCCCTCTGGGGACTTCACTAGAAGTGCTTCCCAGAGCTGGGAGGTTTTTTGTTCCAGAAAAATAATTTTACTGCAAGGGTTTTATTTTTAAAATATACAAACGTGAATCAAGACAGCCAGTGCTAAAAGCTTGCTACATTGAGTGATGACGAAGCTACGGTTCAACCTAATGCACTGTATCGTCATTTACTCCATGGTTCATCTCATTTTTCAGTATCAGTCTCATGCTGGCCACATGTCAGCCTAAAAAAGTAACCCATGGAATGGTCTGACTTAGTTACTGAAATAAAAGTGAATTTAGTTCTCCTGGCGTGATGGTCATGTATTCTCAGGTGCCTTAATCTTCTATTAAAATGAAAAAGGCAAAAAAGCCATTTTCCTGGTTGCAATTTCTGAGTCTGTTTGGGTTGAACACCTGCTGAGTTTGAACTCTCAGCTGTCTGCAGCTACTTTTCGGGCAGTAATCATGCCAGCTGCCTAATCCCTGTATTTTACCTTCCAGGATAACCAGGTTTTGGTGGGATGTTACATCGGAGCAGCTCCTTAACCCCAGCTCACGAATCTGTGTGTCAGTCACTGAGAGGCAGCACAGGTATGGCTGCAAGTGTAAGGAATAAAAGGAGAGAGCTGGAGATCAGACATTAAGAAATCAGGTTTGCTGTTTGAAACAACACATCACCAAAATGCAAGGTTCAGTCTACAAAGCTCGGCTCTGAACGTAATTTAGCAATGCCGGCTTTCAACACTTTGGGCAGCTACCACCACGGTTTAAGTTACGTTTGCTTCACCGACTGAAGAAACAGCCTCACTTCATGTCCTCATACCTCCTGGGTTAATCCAGGACGCGGAGCAGCACCCATTCAGCCCAGATCCCATCGAGGTAAGGGACTAAACCTTTCACAGAACTACCGCGCAAGGGGCCTGCTTGCAAACCCCATGCTGCCGCCCGGCTCTCCTTTGTCAGACGCTACATTGACTGGAAGACGGCTGTTCACGTACGGGATGGGAAAGAAGGAGTCCTGAAGCGGGCGGCTATCCCTCAGGACCACCCGCTTACCCCAAGTGACGTGGGGGGAACGGAGACCGGCCCCGCGCATGCGTCCTACCTCACTCCCGGCTGATCGTATCGGTTACCCGATGACGACGATCGATCGCGCCGGCTGTCGCCATGGCGGCCCGGGTGCTGAGGCCGCTGCCCAGGTAATGGGGAGGTGGCTGTGGCCGCACTAAGGTGCGACGAAGCTGCTCCCGCGCCCCCCTTTCTCCCCGCCGAGGAGAGATGTAAATGGCGCCGGGCTGGCCGCGCCCGCAGCTTGCCGCGGGAAGCAGTGGCCTGGGAAGGCCTCATGCCGGAGCTTGAAACCCTCTGAACTAGGATCAAGGATAATTTAGATCCGAATTAACTTTCCCATTCTAAAATGAATATGTAGTTTAGGTTGCCGGAACTTTAGAATGTAAAACGTTAATTGTCTGTGATTTGCGCTCTTAAGTAGCTGAAAGATAGTTTGTGAACGCTGATGCAAGCCAGGCGTTTGAAGCCCAGTGAATGCTGCTGTTAACTGTCCTCCTTAACAGAATATACTGACAATTAACACAGCCTCATCAGTTAAATTGAGAAACGTTCACGTGTCCCAGCATTGGTGTTTCCTGTCAGTAACAGAAGCATGAGTTCAAGCTGTTCATAAACCCTACCTAAATGTATGTACACACAAGGACATGAGGGCAGGTTTCTTGTAATGGAAGCTTTGGGAATAGACAAGTCTTTGACAGGATTATTAAAAAAAAAAAAAAAAATTAGTATTTAAACACCCAGGAAAAGGCCGTAAATCTTTTAAAAAACAGACTGCTAAGTAGCGATCTTACTATTTACAGGTTCCCCTAACTTGAACACATCAAAAACAGTAGTTGACACTGGTATCTGCCATCTATTTACTAGTAAGCAAAGAAGTTTCCGACTGTTTGTAGTTTCAAAATTGTTGGCTAATTTACTTGATTTTAAAAAGGAGAATGTAAAACAACTTTGCGTTCAGATATTTTTCTGACAAAACCTTGCTTAAATCAGCAGTTATGTATTTGGGATTGAGTAGCTGGTTTATGGTTTTAGCTATCTTTTTAATATTTCTTTCAGGCCAAAACCATTCAACAGACTGCAAATAATACTACAACATTTGGTAAGAGCAGTATCTTGCATGACTGAGCTAGAGATTTTTAAGACTTTTAACTCCGTGAGGCAGACATGCAGCTTGTGTCTTTTCACAGTGGTTCTGAATGCCATCACTTATTTGTAGGCATAAGGCTGCTCATGTCTTTGAGCACTTTGTTACAAGTTTCTGTTACATTGTAAATTAAAACTTAATTATTTTGGCCTTGCCTACTTTTATAGCTATTTTCTATGTTAGCCTCTGTATATTCCTTAAATAGAATTCAACTGTGAGTTTAAATAAATTGTGAAAATAGTTCAGTGATTTGTTCTCTACTGTTAAAGGTTACTTACAGACAAAGCAATATGTACATTTGAGTTTCCAGTGTCAAACTGCCAGTAGGGACACATAGAACTATCATTGTTATAATTGTTGCTGGTATTTTCAGAATGCTAGTCATAAGGGACCATGTGGCAGTTCTGGTGGTGTGTTTTTGAATGAATTCAATTGTCAGTGTGTAGCTCAAAAACTTGTCTGAGGTTTATTATTCTCAAGGACTCAGGCATAAGGTGTTTTTGAAAAAACTGTTGAGGTATTACAAATAAAACTTGAAGCACAGTGGGAAGGCCTTAGTGTACATTTCCAAAATGCATGCTTTATGATCTTAACTGTTACGAGAATATTTCCATAAACACTCTTGTATGGATGTTACTCAAGGTATCTAACTGATGACATTTGGTTTATTTATTTGTATTTCCATGTACAGAAGATTTCTAAGCAAACAGATTCAACAGCTGAAGTCTTGTTGGAAAAGAAAGGAGGTGCAGGAATAATAACTTTGAATAGACCCAAGGCTCTCAATGCCCTAAATCTTCCGATGATCCGACAAATTTATCCACAAATAAAGGTTAGTAGCTCCCCTTCTACCCATCCACTATACATATGTATCCAAAACCAGTTTTGAAATTCAGTCTGACACTTCTTAGTGTACTGATTTAAAGAATGAGAGTCTGTGTGACTGCATTGGCCAATGAGCCATTTATAGTATGGGAAAGAACAGACAGTTTTAAGTAAGTTAGAAGGAGAAGACATGTCAAAGAAAGAAGCTGTCAGACAAAGTTAAATTTAGCATCTGGATAGATAGAGACACCCATATTAAAAGTAGAACTGTATTAAAAGCAAGAAGGGCTCATGGTTTATGTATTGCTTTTGGCAACACCCAGCTGGTCAGTCAGCATGCATGAGTTCCAGGATGTACAGTTTTGTTGGCTTTTGGTTGGGTGCATGTTTTGTGGAGAGGCTGCATCGCTGAAATAAAACATACAAGCCACTTGAAAGCAAGGTATTGTCAGTGTCATTCCTTTAGGAAGAACTTTATGGATTTACAGGCACTTTTTACAAGCTAGTGAAGTAATGTGAAATTTTAAGCTTGCAAATTTTTTAATTTAATGTGACTGTTTATGATATGCAGAAAATCAGGCTTGCTAGATACCAATATTTGTTGGATAGTTGCCTGCCTTTTGGTATTTTGGTAGACAGATGTATTGCAAGTTTATGCATTCTTTGAAGAACATTTACAGACATACTTAATCTGTAGTGCTGAGTACTGAGTTTTATTTGAAGCACAGCCTTAAAAGGTGGCATAATTTTAAGTACACTTGCTGGTATACAGAAATGTCCTGTCTTTTTTGAACAAGGGATTTATAAGCGTAGTTTAAAGGGCAGGGGGAGGGAAAACCTGTAGATGGCATCTTTTTCTCAATATGGTTGCACCACTGCTGAAGTCTTGTACCACTGTATTTAATTCAGGGGAAAAAAAAACCCCAAACAACAACATGGTCATTGTACCTAGCAAAACGTCTGTGCACAAATTAATTTAATACAGAAAAAAAATTCTTGATGGGCATTGATCACAGTAATTTTGCCAAAATCCATCAGTAATTTAATCCCTGTTTTCCTTGCCATGCATTTTAGCTTTACACAACTTTCATGATTTGGCCTGAGACCTTGTTATTATATCTTCCATATTCCTAGCTTTATGCCCCAACATTGTGTTCCAGTTGGGATTTATGCTGGACCCTGTTTTAGGGAGTGCTGCCTTTCTTCAAATTGGTATCTCTACACAGGCATTTGCTGAAATACATGAGGCAACTCTGCTAATCTGATGTTAAATTAGATTATTTAACCTAATCAAGGTTAAATAGGTCACCAGGATGGCAGAAAGACATTTAGCTCTCAGTGTAAGAAAGACAAACTATTTTAAGTATAGTTTGATTTGCTTTTTGAGAAAGTAAAGTAAGTATTACAGCATACAGAGAAAGCAGGTTTTTTTGCACAGACTTTAATCTTACATGGAAACATTTACTTCTTTTTAGACCTGGGAGAAAGATCCCGAAACTTTTCTAATAATTATAAAGGGAACTGGAGGAAAAGCTTTTTGTGCTGGGGGTGACATCAGAGGTAAGGAGTAGAGTCATTTGAACATTTAACATGTCTTTGCCAGTTATTATTTTGCATTGGTTTATTTACTGTGACTTGGGTAAGCACAGCCTTGCTACACAAAAGTAAGAGAGATTATTCTTATGATGCCTTGATGCAGGGATGCTATTTAAGTTACTCGTCAGGAGACAGCTGTCAGAACATTGTATAAAAGAGTAAAAATTGAACTTTTATGAATAACTGGTAATAGCAGTCATTTGTGGGAAGAGGGAAGAGAGGGTCCTTGTCTCTACCTTTTTCTTCCCAGATTTTCATTACTGACAACTTCTTTATGAGAAATTTGAAGAGTCCTAATAAGTAACTTTTACTATAAGATAATTTGTGTCTGATGTTTGAGTTGGCTATGTAAAGAGCTGACAATGGTTATCAGTGTATCTAAGTAAGAACTGTAGGAAACTTCCAGACTGTGAAAATTAGCAGTTGTTTTAAATTTTAGGTGAACAAGCAGCACAGGTTATCATCAAATTATGTCCTGCTCTCATTGGCTTCTCAGTTTTAGTATTCAGAGTTTTCAGTATAATAAGTTTTAAGTAACCGTTCTATATATTGATATGAAACACCACAAACAAGACTACCATACATTAGGATGGGTTCCATGGCATAGAAGATGAATTGCATGCTCACATGCATGTGACAGTCTCCAGCATAATAAATTGACTCATATTTGAAACTTTGCATTCGTATTTAAGTTTGAGCAAATTTTCTCAACTAAAAGCAGGATTAAGTTGCTGCTTGATTGCAGTTGGAATAAATTGTTTTCATGCAATATTAATTCTTATTTGCACTTTCCTTTAAACTTACAGTTATCTTTAGAATTTTTATTTCTCTTAAGCCATCACAGATGCAGGAAAAGTTGGAAATAAGCTGGCACAAGATTTCTTCAAAGAAGAATATACCCTGAACAATGCCATTGGTATGTTTAATAGCAAATTCTGAAGCAGTACAGTTTTCAAAGTAGTGGCTTTGAATGTAAATTCATTTTCTCTCTTTGCTGATCTATAAAAAAACCGAGATAACATAATAGAAGTAGTTTTATGTTAGTTTTTTTGTTTTTTTTAATGCCACTAGTGTAACATATCTCATGTTTACATCATGCATGCAGAATTTGTTTCTTTTGTTTAAGCTACTGTGATAGCTTATTGCATCCAGTTGTTCTGGATAGTTACAATTCAGCTACAGATTAATTATGTTGTAGATGCAGACAGTGCAGTTCTGCACTAAGTACCATTGATCTGCTTCAAAAAAGACTTGCGATAAAAATAGATGCATGGAAAATCATTAGTATTCAGTCAGAAGGCAGAAGATCAAATTATGTTAAAGCTTTCCATTTATATAAACTGCATAAATTAAGCTAGGAGTTAAACGCCTTAGTTTATTTCGAAGAACCTAGGAGTATGTGGTCTTAAAATAACTACCAGCAAAGACACTGAGTAAAGATGTTTTCAATTACCATGCATGGAAAGATTCAAAAGTCCACTCTGACTAAAACTGCTGTCTAATATTAGTGTTTTCAGGTCAGATTTAAAAGTTCAGTCAGATTCATCAGTTCAGCTGATGTCACAGGACCATTGTCTTGAAAAAAAATGTACAATTTTTTTGGTTCTTTACATTCCTTACAGGCACTTGCAAGAAGCCATATGTGGCACTTATTGATGGCATTACAATGGGAGGGGTAAGTTAAGCACCTTGGTGTGGTATGTGACATCATTTGTTTTAAAGTAATGTAATATGCTGAGCTTGAGTTAAATGAAGCGCACACATGGCATTTCAAACATTGCAATTCGAGAATAAGGATTGTAATGTGAACCTTTGTCTCTTGCTTGTCAGGGCAACTTGCTGCTCTTCTAGTGCTTCTGTTCTTTCATACCCAGTGCAACTGCTTCTCTGAGGATCTGGCAGTTGTGTTAAGAGCAGTATCCTGTCACTGTAGGAGATGCCCCTTGCAAAGGTTTTCAGAATACTGAAGTGTGAGTTTGTAGATCATACAAGAACTGAGTTTTTCACTCAAAATGTATTATGAAATTGAACTATATAAATATGCAATTAAAGGACAACTCCATGAAAATTAGTAAAAATTATATTTTAAGCTGTACTTTAACGGACATTTGTGAGATCTGTATTTTTCCAACAAATTACCTGAAAATGCATCTACTTTCTCACCTTTGTAGTACTCCTAAAACATGTATTACAAGATCCTGATTCTCCCTTACCCTTTCCAAGGCCATACCTTATTACTAAAGCAACATGGAAAGACTCCATCATATTGCTAGTTATACTCAGTGTTAATAATTGCTTCAGCAATTGGTGGCTCTGAACACTATGAGTAGGTAGTTAAGAGACCAGTACTGTACTTTTCTTCATGCTGAAATGCTATTCTCTAAAGCTTGACATCTGTTGGATACATTTGCGCTGTAGCAGGGAGTAGAATATAACAATCTTAAGTTATTTTGAACAGTGAGTTTGACAAGTAAAGTCTGCCTGCCATATTGTTGCTTAAATTTATATTCTTGCACACCAGTATGATATGGGCGTATAATCTGTTTAAGTTTGTCAAAGACAGGATGATATAAGTGTAACACTACATGATCCATCACTGGTCATGACTCCTCCCTTTCCAACTTCCCTTGCACATTTCTTTTTGTGTATTTTGGCCGTGGTCTTTCCAGCTGGTGATCTAAACATGCGATTCCTCTTTTCCCCTTGCTGCTCTGCTACCAAGCCTCAGATCTCAGACCTCTAGAACAGCCCTTGAACTTGGCATGGTTGTACCATTATCTTGTTCTGCTTCCTGTGTGGGAATGCTCTGTCCTACTGTAATTATTCATCAGAAATGCATCCATACAAAGGAGTTATTCTGTTCATGGTATAAATAGATGCTCTGTTTTAAATCACTCAGATGTTTGGTTCTATGTTTTTAACACAATAAGTTCATATTTCATCCCTTTCATATGCCCAAGATTTGGCTATCTTAGTCCCTACAAGTGAGTGGGAGCTAGAAGCATCTGTCACTTATGAACTACAGTAAATGCCTTTAAAACAAATTTACATTGAAACCATTGGCTTTAGAAGCAAGTCATTTTAGCTTGGCCTTAAAATTTAAGGGATACCTCTTAAAAACTGCAATTTCACTATAGTCAATGAACAAAAAGACAAACAGGTCAATCTCAAACTTGCTCAAAAAAGTAGCACTGTACATGGAGTGCTCTTTTGTTCTAGTTTAAATTGAAAATCAGAATGTTTTAGAAACTCAGTTACTATGTGTTTAGGTAGTAAAAGTTGCTACTGATGCACAGATATCATAAATTTGTGAGGGTAAAACTTGGGATTGTATCAAAGTAAACTAGTTCCGCTTCAGCATTGTTGGCCAGAGGCTGGTAGATGGCTTTCTTGAGAGCTTAATTATCCAACAGATGGGGCTGTGGAGCTTGATTTCTGCACTTCTTGTCTATGCTCCTGTAGTTCATCAAAAATTGATATTCAATATAAATGTATTTCATTTTTTGTACTTAGAACAGTAGGTTCAAGTAACAAGTATGTTTGATGAAACAAAGGTGACTGCACCTAAGGTGATTGTTACTAAGCAACAGTGAAACAAGTTGTAGATACCACATTTATTGCTAAAGGGCATGTACAGTGGAAGGGAACACTGGGTGTGTACTCTCATGATGCTGAAAACCCTCAGATTATGATAGTTATCAAATGCTGAAAATCTATTCAGATTATTTTAGTTGACTTCTATCTGTACACTTTTAATTCCTTGAAATGAAATACCTGAACAGTAGACAAAAAAATGCAGAGTATTTAAACAGTTGTTTGTTTTTTTTTTTAATATTATTGTTTCTAAATGAGGTCCTAAGTTTGGGTTTCTTGGTTGTAAAAAATCTTCCAATGTTTTCCTGACTTTAGTGAACAAAAGTGTGCCATGTAACTGTGGTTTTAAATAGGGCTTTGGCACAAAATACATTACTGTGTCATTGCTCTCTCTAACAGACTAAAAGGCTTAATAACAATGTACTTTATACCTGTTTCAGAGCTAAATAAAGCACACTAGACAGATTTGATTGGTGGTTTTAACTTTACATAAAGCCTACTTAAATCTCTGGCATATTGCCAAAGCAGAAATACATATATTTAGGAGCAAAGGCCACTGCTTTTAGTTCAGGGAGGAGTCTGCAGCAGTGTCTACAAAGTACCCTTCTCGTTAGTATCATATTTAGAGCATGCATAATTTAGAAACTTCCTGAGCTACACTGTATTTCAGAGCCATGGTGCTAAATAACTATCAGTAGTCACACTCGCCTCTCTATTCATATGGTACTTTTTGACATAAAGTAGGTTTGGCCTTCAGAAAGGCTTGTGGAGGTAGGCTTCACAGTTCAATTTTGTGCTTTGTGAAAAGCAATTTGCTGCTGTTTCAGGCTTATCATCTGTTATTACTGAATACTTACGTGTTTAGTTATTAATAAGGCCAAAATAGGCCCCCAGTATTTGTTTTTCTACTGATGAGTAAAGACTGTTGCTCAAACACAGGATTTTTTTGCTTTGTAAATCATACACAGTATTTAATCCTTTAGTCTGACCTCTTGCATGATATATTTGCTAAGTTTATTTTAGCAAGTTATGAGATCTGTAAAGGCTATACCTTTATGTTACACTTCTTGCTTTAACAATTAATGCTTTGAGTTTTAGGGTAAGAAAACACCTTGTGGGGCAAATAGATTTTAACTTATATAGCAATGTGCAACATTTTCAGTATAGAAATGAAGCTGGATAGAGTTGCCAGTTCTTGTAAATCCTTTGCAAAGCCCTGTGGAGTTATTCTGAGAATTTTATTTTCTAATCTTGATTTGGGTTTAGGGAGAGTAGTAGGAAGCTGGAACTTTAATGTAGCTCACAGTTTAAAGAGATATTGCCATCTCCAATTCCCTCATATTCTAGGGCCCAGTTTTCAAGAGCGATAGTACACAGTGCTGACTTTTATTCTCTCCTCAGTAGGGAAGGACCTCAGGTGTATTAGGGCATGAGAAGACAACCTACCAATTGGGTGTTTGGGTTCATGAGTAGCTTTCCATTCATTTTGTCAATGCACCTAGCGGTAGAGTTTTTTCTAAGCAAGGTATTTTATTGAAACTGAGAGTCTACATCCAAGTTACTTACGTGAAGCATCCTGAATTTTTTAAGGAACTGTTTGAGTCTGTGTTAGTCATTCAGGTAGTAATGTTGAATATGCTAAGTTTTAGACTACACAGAAGTATAGATCTGAGAGGAGCCTTGGGATTCTTCTTTTGCACTTGAAGTAGTGTTAAATATAGCTAGATGATTACTTAGCAGATTTTCACCTAAAGTGTTCAGAAGTCTCCAACAGCAAGAATTCTGTTTTTTGCTGATGTCCTACCCAAGTGCTTAGTTATTTTTTAAGGTTCCCCAGTGTCTAATTTAAGTCTTTAGCATGTGTAATCAATATATTCCTGTCTTAGTCACAGCTCTCTAAGAACAGTTTGAGATACTTGCATTCCTTGCTTCTAGCCAGCTCTTTTTAATAGGGATAAAGGTAGCTACTCAGCCTTTTTTATAGATTAAGTCTTCTTACAATCCTCTGAAATCTTTCCAGTTTTTGTACTTTACAGTTCATTACCAGAGACCAGACAATATTTCAGCTGGAGGATTCATCAGCACCGAGTAGAGCAGAATAATTATTCTCTATATATTGCAGAGATGTTCTGTCACAAATAGTTAAATAGCAACTTCTCAAAGCATCAGGTGCTAGGAGGCCACCACTTTTAGTTATTCTTAAAGCTATTACTCTTACCTCTTTCCTTCTTGTGTAACATTCCATGACAGTACCTTTCTTTACCACTAAACTTTTACCAAGTTTTAAATCTTCCTCCTTGAACAGAACTTGTTTGTTGAAGCGTCAGTCTTGTGGAGCTACCCTTTTCCTCAAAGGCAATAAAAGAATAATACTAATTTTCTCCCTAAGAAGCCTGAGTGCCATCTCAGCTGGCATTGCCTTTGACAGCTCCACCTCTTCGGTCTGACTAGGCTTCCCAAGTACATTGAATCTAGGCTGTGTGGGTATACTTCAGCCCTTTGGTGCCTGTCAGCCTGATACCTTCAGTAGTTCTTTTCTCAACATTGCATCATTATGTGTATTAAGTTCATGGTTACTGTAAACCCCTGAAAAATGTCTAGGCATTTGTTCCGTAGAAAACATACTTGTAATCTTGCATTTTATTTTGCTAAATGTAGTTATTTTTATTTCATTAGCTTCTATCTGGTCTCCAAAGTGAGATGGTTTTGAATTCTGATTCAAAGTGTTTGCCTTCCCAAAAAGCAATCTGTAAATTCTAGAAAACCTTGTTTACATTATCCAAGCAGATAAGGAAAATATCAAATATGACTTCATTAATGATTGGCTTCTGTATGACCGCAGCTAGGGTGCCCTCTCAGTTTGATTGTAGACTGCTGGTAACTCTTAATATACTTTCAGGTGATTGTGCTCTCCATTTCATAGTGATACCATCTAGGCTGTGTTCCCCTAGTTTGTTTATGAGAGGTAACTATGCTGTGTATGGGAAAGCATCAGAAATGTCGCAGTTCAAAATATGAAGATTTTCAGACTGCTGCTTGCTGAGTGACAGTCTCATTTTAATCAAGGGGTTATGTAGGAGT